CAGGGCCCCGGTTCGGATCCCACATGAGGGCCAGTGATGCTGCGCCCTCTACAGCTAAGATGGTGAACAACAGCTCGACCTGGAGCTGGGCTGCCGTGAGATGCCGGCGACAGCGTAGGCTGCAGTGGGGCTGCCTGGCAGTGGGTGTGAGCTTTTGTGAGCTGCCGTGAGCTTTCGTGAGCTGCCGTGAGCCACCGTGAGCGGCCGTCCAATGGCCGGCGAGCGGCTGCCTCACTTGGGAAGAACGCAATGATAATACCAACATGGGCCAATGAAGCGACGTCCTCCAGAACTAGACTGAAGAACAAAAGGACAGCAGCAACTTGTCTGTTCCCCTTCCCCAATTCCCCAATAAAGTCTTTAAAAAAAAGCCTTTTGGGTATGCTTTGAATCTCCCATTAGCTGATCTAACCTTAATAGTGCTTTTGTTTTGGGTAAACTTTTTATGCTTTACCTTCATTTTGCCTGTAGAAACCCAAAACACAATAAAGTTCAGAATAAGATCTTAGGAATAAACAGAGACTTCTTGAGAATAAAATTCAGTTTTCTTAAATTGCATTTTTGAGTGCTCTACAAATTTTCCAACCTCTTCCTTTTCTAGGTGAAGAAATTGAGTCCTAGGATAGGAAAGTGACTTATTACAGTTAACTTTTATTCATTGTTTTACCCACAGCACAAGGGGGAGGTGGAAACGAAAAACAAGGCATCACTGAATTGAATGTACAGTAATTCCCTCTTAAATATACCAAGTTGGAAGGAAGTCAAGAAACATAGCATACTTGAAATCTCTCCTGGTAGAATCTATCTGTAGATCGTGCCCTATCCCATCCCTAGAAAAGAACAATAATCTCTTGGTTATTTTAATGGGGCAGGGGTTGGGGAGTGCCAACTCACGTTAGGTCAAGCAAACATTAATACCAAGCTATCCTTGATAAAAATGAAGCTAAGGCTAAGTGTCACAATCTCTGATTTTAGTGACAGTCAATTTCAAGGGAGAGCCGTAACCTTCTCATGTGAACCTTGTGTTAACCAGAAATCCTACGTGTTCGGCCCAGCTGCCTTAGACTTCTCTCACCCCCGAGTTCCAGTGTATATTTCCCCGCTAGTTTCTTGGCTCTTTCCCCCCCAACCTCCTCCAGGCGGCACCAGCCTCAAACCCATACAGGTTGCTCTCAGCTGAGCGCTGGCTTCAGTTACCTCACTCTCATGTTCTAGCTGATGCTACGCATAACAGAGAACGAAGGCAGAGCTGGAGGTAGAAGATGCATTTTCGTTTGTTTCAAAAATATCAGGCCCTGGTCCCCTCCATGTTTCCCCTCTTCTATCCAAATTCCGGCACCACTGGCCTGTTGGCAGTCTGTACGACGAGTGAGTTCAAGGTGTCATATGCTTCTCGGGTGCCTGTTTGTGAGCCAAATAGAGGAACAGGATGCTGGAGAGAGCACTGACCAGGAAGATCACGTCGAACCACCGGTGATAGAAGCTGAACTGCAGCTCCCCGAGGACCTGGGTGATGATGGTGCGGTACTCCAGGGGCATGCTCATTCGGATCAGCAGCACCGAGGACACAAAGTACATGCCCTGTGGGCCGAGCACAAGAAGCCAGAGGTCACTCGGGATGCAGTGGGGGCAGGGGGGAGGGAGGGCTTAAATACTTAAAAGCATAGATCACACTTCTGGTGGTTTACAGCTGTAAACATAAAGCCACATCTTGAAACTTACCATTATCTCTGCTAAGAGCAGGACAATGACGTTGGAAGACTTACTGCTAGAGATGGCATAAAAGAACTGTCAAGAAAGGGAGAAGATATGCGTTTAGGCAGCACCGCTGGATTCCTGTGTCAAGTACATTAAGTAGCGCTGTTAACATTTTAATTAAAAGTGTCTCTTCCATGCCACAACCCTGTAGAGAACAATTCCCAGGATTCAGGCTATGGGAACAGACGAGACTCAGACTTCCGGAAAAGTCTCCAGTTAGTTTTCCCACGGGGTAGTTGGTGGTTTGAAGCATTGCATCATAACATGAAAGCATGCCAATCGCTATCAGACTTTGCAGAAACGATGTAATACGTATGACTTTAACATCCCTATAAAACAACTACTTCAGGCCACTCCAAGCCCGTGCAATTGTTCGTAGGCTCCTGAGCTCTGTTCAAAATTGAGCCAGGTGCCTGGAGGTCCTGCCTACTCCTATCCCAACCTCTTCTCTCCTTTTATTCAAACAACTCTTGGATCTTGAAACCCATCCCTACCTCTTCTGCCAGAGAGGATTCACCTTCTGTGAAACTTTTCTATGTTGATCAGAAGACAGCTGAACATTTAGCTTCTCCTGCTCCCATATCCTTACAAGTGACCCTCACAGCTATTCTAACCTCCAACACCTATCTCATTCATTCATTCATTCATTCATTCCAGATATCTGCTGAGTACGTACCATGTGCCACATTCTGTTTTAGATGCTGGGGACAGACTGTGCTCTCATTCTATGACCTTTGGTCAGTGTACTTATCTGATTGGCATATGATGTAAACATATCATCATCAATGTATATATTTGTTTACCTTCTCTTTATTCTGCTGTATGTCTTTTAAATATTTGTGACTGTTGTTTAAGATCTCAGAAGGCAGAAATCTCAATTAGGTAAAATTATTTCATAGAACTCCATGTAATCAAAGAAGTACTTTTTAACTCTGTGACACAACATACCTTGGTAAGCGTGATCAGCAACCCTCTGATAGATGTGACGATGATTATTCCAACCAGGATGAAGGAAATGTGTTGGGACCAGAACTTCACCTGCCACCATAACAGGAAGAAAAAAATATCTGTTAAATTTCTGTTAAGAGAGATGTGAAGGCTTGTGGCTGTGAGAAGGACCTTCATTAGGCACTCCTACCTGATTTAAAAATAGTTTTTATGGAGGGAGGAAAGCGAATGAGCGACAGCTACAGTACCCTATAGGAAGGCCGTGGTGGATATCTTCATTAGCAGACTTAATCAAGACTTAAGGACAGCATAAGACAAGTGCACTGAAGTGATGAAAATAACATCAGTACGTCAGAAGAAAAAGAGAGCTAATAATACAGCTTCAACGTGATAAGTGAAAAGCATGAATTAAAAGGAAATTAAATAGCAGCTTGATTATTTTTAATATTTGTGAACGACAGTCCTCTGATCACTGAAGACGTTAAGGAATTTTTCTTTTTATAATAAAAGAATATACAGACATTCTCAGCTACGGTCTAGGAAACAGCTGACCTTCAGTGAATCACACGATGAACCTTTTTCTCCTCTTGGATCGCGTCATAGCGAGAAGCAGCTTTGGGACCCTGTGCTTGATTCAGCTCTGAAAAGTCCCTGAGGGAGAGCTGCTATTACTAACATCTAAAAGATTCATTCAGAATTATGAAATATAAAGTATATCGATGGAATATATATACATATGCAGTAACTGAATGGCCTCAGAAAGCACTGATAAGAGCCTTTTAAAAAATTCAGCCCAGTAAAAAATTTAAGAGGAAAGCACACTAGTCAAGCACACTCCACAGTGTAACCTGCATATGACTTGAAGGAAAGATACCATACTCCTTCACATGAAAAATGATTATTGTGTTATCATAAAAAAACGTGTGCTTTGAGCTGTTTCTTGAGGGCTGGAGCTCAGTTTGCTCTGGCCCATTTTCATTTTATTCAGCTACTAGGGGCATGTGTAGCTGAGACGGATGTTGCGGGTATTGTGCAGTCTGGGGCTAGGATCACAGCACAGCTAAAAGGCCTTCACAGGGACTAGGAATGTGACATTGGTCTTATTACCAAAGTGCTAATCAGCCAAAAATATCGGCCATCTATGTACCTGGAAAACACACGATTTACAAATAAAGATGTTCAACTTCAATTGGGACGAGAGGATGTTTAATGACAGTGATATTGGAAAACAGGTAGACAGAAAATGAAAAAAATTTGTGCAGAGGTTAGTTACCACCTTTAGCTCAAAGTCCACACTAATTAATAATCTTTTTTATAGCAGAAACCATTTTACTTCTAACACAGAATGCTAATTAGTAGTTAATTTTCTACCAGAGGAATCAAAGGTGAGTTGTGTGTCTGAGGATCTCATCAAGTATCAGAGAGAGAAGTATCCGAATACAGTAATACCTTGGTTTGCGAGTATAATTTGTTCCAGAAACAAACTACCGTATTTCCCCATGTATAAGATGCACCCTTTTTTGGGAAAAATTTGGGGCCTAAAAACTGGGTGCGTCTTATAAAGTGGTTGTAGATTTTTTTTACTTGCATTTCCCACTTTTTGTAAAAAAACCCCAAAAACTACAACCACTGTATAAGACACACCCACTTTTTAGACCCCCAAATTTTTTGGAAAAAAAGAAACAAAACGGGGTGCATCTTATACATGGGGAAATATGGTAATCGTATTGCTAAGACATCACACGTTTACCAAGTTAAAGTGTATTAGAAATGTTTGCTCATCTTGCAGAACACTTGCAAACCAAGTTACTTGCAATCCAAGGTTTTACTTGGTGGGGAGAAACTGGTGAGTGGTTGTTGGCTACAGAGAAGCAGAGGCGGAGCTGTAGAAATAACCAGCATCTGTGACAATAACAAGTACTGGTCACTACTTATGGCTTTATACCTTTTGCAAATTTACCAAATGAATGTCAAAATATACAGAGGAGAGTGGGAAGAACAAAAGCAGAATCAAGTCCCTATAGTTAGGAATTGGAATCGTAACAATGCATAGCAGATAAAATAGAAAGAAACATAAAAAAACAGGAGCTTGATACAACTCTTACATCGAATTGGATCCCCAGGTAATTCACAGTGATCTCAATGCCTCTTGTGACAGGATCAGTTTTCCCAACTCGGTCAAACACGATATTAATGGTTGCCTGCAGAGAGATGGACCTTTACATTACAGCATCTCAATAATCACTATTTCAAAGATTGATTCAAAATAATGAATCACAACATATCTTACAGGTGGATGTTCCTAAAAATACAATTCTACCCTCAATCTAAATCATACGTAAGAAATCTGTTTTGGCAGTTCACATATAGGTGAACCAAAGTCCCAATCTACCCTATCTTTCTTTTCTGTAAAGAGTAAAGGGGAATAGGCTATGGCATATACACCTTAGTTTTATCAGGAGCCAGAACGGTAGCATTCTAGTAGCATTCTGGTAAGAGAATTAAGGAATTTCCAGTGGTTATTTTCTGAATGTTCTAAAAGCAATCACTAAAATAACAAAAAGAGAATTATAGCTAATAAACCAACAAAGCAGATCAGATGGAATTATGAAAAAAATCCCAATTAACCCAAATAAAAGCAGAAAAAAGGGAAAAAAACAACAGACAAATAAAAAACATATAACAAGCAATATGGTTGTTTTAAACCCAACCATATCAATAATCACATTAAATGTAAATGGTTTAAGCCAGGGATCAGCACTGTAGTATGACCGTAATCACAGACAATATGTAGACGGTTGGGCTTGGCTGTGTTCCCATAAAATTTTATTTACACAAGCAGGTGGTGATTGGATTTGGCCTGTGGGCAGCAGATGGCTGACTCCTGATCTAAACATGCCAATTAAAGGACAGAGACTGTAAGACTGGATAAAAAAGCAAGACCCAACTATATGATGCTTACAAGAAACCCACTTTGAATATAAAGATACAAATAGCTTCAAAGTGAAAGAATGGAAAAAGACATATTATACCAACACTAACTGAAAGAAAGCTAGAATGTCTCCATTAATATCAGCAAAGTAGATTTCATAGCAAAAAATATTGCCAGGGATTGGAAGGTCATTTCATAATGATCAAAGGATCATTTCAACACAGGATACATAATGACCCTGCATGTATATATAACAGAGCTTTAAAGTAACAGAGCTTTAATAACAGATAACAGATATAACAATATCTTTTTAATTTAGATTTAATAACAATAACAGAGCTTTAAAATACACGAAGAAAAAAACTGATAGAACTATAAATTTAAAGAGATTCAAATCATACCAAGTATGTTCTCAGATCTAAATTCATGAAGAATTATACCATGTTCATGGACTGGGAGACTCAATATGGCTAAGCAGTCATTTCCCTTCCAACTGATCTGAAGATTCAGTGACATTCTAATACAAATTTCAGCAGGTGTTTTTGTAGGCATTAATAAGCTGATTCTAACATTCATAATGGAAGTGCAAAGGACCTAGGATAGCCAAAACATGTTTGCAAAAAGGACACAGTTGGAGAACTTACACTATCTGATTCCATGACCTATTATAAAGCTATGGTGATCAAGATGGGTGTGTGCTGGCAGAATAAAGGCAACTATATATAGCAATTAACAAGAATAGAGAGTACAGAGACGGACCCACACATGTATGGTCAATTAGCTATTGACAAAATTGCGAAGTCAATTCAACAAATAAAGGATGATCTTTTCAACAAATGGTGCTAGAATTGGATTATCTATATGTAAAAAAATGAACTTGGATCCATACTCCAGCATCATATTAAAAAATTAACTCAAGATGGATCATAGATCTAAATGTAAAACCTAAAACTATAAAGTTTCTAAAAGACAACGTGAAAAACAAATCTTTGGGACACTGGGTTAGGCAAAGATTTCTTAGATACGATACCGAAAGCATAATCCATAATAGAAAAAAAAAAAGATACATTAGAATTCATCAAATCAAGAACTGTTCTTTGAAAGATATGGCTAAGTGAATGAAAAGCCAAGGAACTGACTGGGAGAAAATATTTGAAAACCACGTATTTGGAATATATTCAGGATTTCCAGAATATATTTTAAAAAGCACTCTAAAATCCAATAAAAAAACCAAAACAAAACTAACATTCTTTAAAAATTGGCAAAAGATTTGAATAGATACATCATCAAAGAAAAATATATCACCAGGTGGCAAATAAGCACATGAAAAGTTGTTCAACATCACTAGGCATTAGAGAAATGTAAATTAAATTCAATACCACCTCATGCCTATTAGAATGCCTAAAGTTAAAAAGACTGACCAGGGCCGGCAGAGTGGCGCGTTGGTTAGGAGTTGGCTTGGGAACACCAGCTCTGAGCAGGAGGGCCCCGGTTCGGATCCCACATGAGGGCCAGTGATGCTGCGCCCTCTACAGCTAAGATGGCGAACAACAGCTCAACCTGGAGCTGGGCTGCCTTGAGTGGCCGGCGACGGTGTAGGCTGCAGTGGGGCTGGCCGGCAGTTGGTGTGCGCTTTCGTGAGATGCCATGAGCCGCCGTGAGCGGCTGTCCAATGGCCGGCAACCGACTGCCTCATGTGTGAAGAGCACAATGATAATACCAACATCGGCCAGTGAAGTGACGTCCTTTACAACTAGACTGAAGAACAAAAGGACAGAAACTTGTCTGTTCCCCTTCCCCTGATTCCCCAACGCTGTTCCCTTCCTCCAATTCCCCAATAAAATCTTAAAAACAAACAAACAAACAAAAAAAGACTGACCATACGAAGTATTGATGAGGATGTGGAGTAACAGGAACTCTCATACACTGCAGGTGGGAACGGAAAATGGCACAACCTCTTTGGAAAAGTTTGGCTGTTTCTTCAAATGTTAAACATACATCTGCAACATGACCCAGCTATCCCATAGCTAACTGTTTTCTCCCAAGAGAAAAAGAGCATATGTTCATATACGGACTTGTACACAAATGTTCACAGCAGCTTTATTTGTAATATCCCTAAACTGGAAACAAACAAATATCTATCAGCAGGAGTGAACTGAATTGGGGTACACACATACTACGAAATACCACTCATCAATGAAAAGGAATAAACTATTGATACACACAATAACATGCATGAAACTTAAGATAATTATGCTGAGTTAAAGAAGCCAGGCAGAAAAAGTGTACACACTGTAAGATTCCATATATAGAAAGTTCTAGAAAATATAAACTAATGTATAATGACAGCAGATGGGTAGTTGTCTGGGGGCTGGGGGCATGAGGAAGTGACGGGTGGGTATGTTCTCTATCTTGATTGTGGTGATGGTTGTTGCGCGGGTGTATACATTTGTCAAAACTTACCAAATTGTATACTTTAAATATGTGCAGTGTAATGAATGTCAATTACACCTCAATAAAACTGTTAAAGAAAATAGGCTCCCCTAAAAGCTGCATCTCAGGAAAAACCTTTTAGTGGCTTAGCTAACTGAACATACTATCTTCATTCATCCTCTCCCACTGAATGAATCAAGATTTTAAAATGTCATCTGAATAGGTACTGACATCAATTTATTGTAACAGTAGATCCGTGAAATCCAGAATCCCCCATTCATCTACATTGATCAGAATTAACTAACAAGCTGCAAACACAGCCCCAGTAGGAACGTCACTGAACCAGAAAGTCATATCGGCCTTTTCTATAATCACACTGAAATCCACTACTACCTGCAGATGAGTGACAAGATGAATAATATACATAAAATGCACACAGAACAGAACACTACAGGAGAGCCACAAAAGAATAAGAGCTATAGATATAGGATGGATTTATCTATAGAAACACATTTTAGAATTTACTTTGACTTAGTTTTTAGGTATATACACATTATCAAAACGCACAGGTGTTTTCTGTTACGAGCTGAAGGTAGGAGTCATACACTCATGGATAATAGAGAAAGCAGAGTTTAAAATAAGAAACTTTTATATTCACTTCATATATTTCATAATCTATGACCTTACTAATGATTTCTGACAGAAGAAAAATAGAACCTTCCTTTTCTAGGTGACTTAAAAAAAAAAGAAGAAAAACAGAGAGGCTCAAAGATGTGAAAGATCACACTCTCTGTTGACTCAATTGGATTTGAAAATCAGGTTGGAATTCAGTTCAATGCCTCAATCAAGCCCGCTTTTCTCTTTCTGCCATTACCAGGGAAAACTCACCTAAACCCTGAGAGTTAAAAATAATGCACTTACCATGAAAATTTTCCAAATGCAGTAAATAGAGAAAAAGTAACCCAGAAAATTAAAGTATTTCCCCTTGAAAGTTTTGGAGTATTCTATTCTCTCCTGAGGGAAAACAAACACAAAACGTGGTCAGTCTTGGGAAAATGTAAATGTATATTTAACAAAAATGAGTCACTGTTTAGGCTAAGTCAAAAAACCACATCTGGTTATAAACTGCTTACTTTAAGCCAGAAAGTGCGGTAAACATGTTACATGCATTATCTACTTTAACCTTCAAAACAACTCGTATGAGGTATGTGTTATCTTTTTTTTTTGTTTCAGCTGAGCCATCCTGCCACCTGTTGGCAGCTCAGCTTGGGCTGGGAATTGAACCGGCAACCCTGTTGCTCAGTGTTTTATCATCTTAATTTCAGATTAGAAAACTGAGGTTTAGCAAGGTTAGGTAACTTGCCCAAGGTCACACAGCTAGTGAGTGGGGGACGTGAGGCTCGGGTCTAGCTGTTTCTACCTATGTTAACCTGTTATTCTATCAGCTACTCCTGTGAAGCGATGCTCAAGAAGGATTAAATTTGTTTGGAACAACCTGAACTAATAGATTTTGTGTATTTAAATTCTACTGCATTTTAGGTGTAAATAGAGAAGCTATTTCTTGTAGTTAGGTCATTTCTTGATCTGGCCCCTTTAAAATAGAGCTAGATGATGGCAGATAAGTGTCTTACTGCTTTTACACTATGACTAACTTGTAAGGAAATAGAAAGCAACCAGGGGTGCTGCCATCTTCATCCCAGGCCAGTAGGAGGGAGGGTGTGTGCCACCTTTCTAGCTGTGAAGAGTCTCTTCTGACTCTCCCACTTATGTCTATCATTGAGTGTTCCAGGAAGGATTTTGCTAGTGGTAGGAGCCCTGTCCTGAAGAGTGCGACTCCTAATGTTTCATGGCTGGCACTGAAGCAATGAGGTGTCTCCTGTACCGCTTGGCCACAGAGGACGCTAAAAAGCTAGTGTTGTTCCCCCTTCCATCATATTGGCCAAAAGCACAGTTGGGTTTCCTTGCTCTGTACCTTGGTGGCATGTAGATCGGCTGTTTCCAGAAAGAGCTGCCTGCTTAGCTCTTCCAAAGCATCCACTTCCTGTTGAAGAAGAGTAAGATCTGGCACAAAATGGGCATCAAGGTTTAAATCACATAGAAGTTTCGAGAAACAGAAAAGAAGAAGGCTCATTGTTTTGGTTTCTCCTATCATGGGTTCTAGAAACTGCCTGGATTTTCCATTTCCCGCTTCAGAGCCAGCAGCACTGCGTCAGAGCAAGTGCCCAGCCTCTGGCACAGGTGTGTACAAGCTTCTCGGTCAAGGCCATCACCGCCAGACACCCGCCACTCAGTTTCTCATCAGCTCAAGTAGCTCAGACAGACAGTTTTGCTTATTTTTTGCTTTATCTAGCTAAATTAAGTCAAATGTAATCTTTGAAATCTCAAATGGTTACATAGTAAAAACACCTATAAGATAGCATGGTTTCTCCTAAATTATCTGAATAAATACAATGTTAGGAAAGGAAACTAGTATTTACTAAGCTCTAATATAGGCTAGGTTTTACAGACATTACCTGTAGTTCTTTACAGACATTATCTTCTATTAGGCTCACAACGATCCCATGAGCTAGGTGTTATTATCCATTTTGCAGATAAGGGGAATAGAGATCAGAGAGTCAAATAATTGGTTGAAAGTCACACAGCTAATAGGCCTGGGTGTCTTACTCCAAAGCCTGCTCTTTCCATTACGCAACGTCACTTTCGATCACTCAGTGAGGTCACGTGACAATATTAGTCTCTCCATTTAGGAAACAGGCTCAGAGGTTAAAGGATCCTGATACTGTGGTTGACTTGACTTATTGTCACTAAGACAGCTTAAACCTAAACTTTGGCTTTTAGGGATTTTTTGAGTAATAAAAATACTAAAGATAGCTCCTTCTAAAACAGAAGCACTGACTTTCAGCGAAATGCTGCCTTCTGCAATGCTTCCCACTATCACCCAAATCGAAATCAGTAAGTGCCCTTCAGGCCTTCCTCAGCAGGTGGCTGCCACTGGCAGGGTCCAGGTCACCAAACAACTGGTTTAACTAGTTACAGGTCTGCCTTTCCCATGAGTTAGATGGGGAGCTCCTTGAGGAAAGAGGCTATACACATATTTACTCTGTTCAGTTTATCTCTGAGCACTCTGGCTGCAAATAGGAGATGTGAAATTGTTTCTTGATTAAATAAATTTAAGGTAACCCTTTTTTCCCCTCTCCCACGGTCATCCTACCTTCCTTTGATCTAATTCTTCCCTGAATTTGACACCAAGACGACGTGTCATAATTTACAGCAAGAATAGGTTACATCCTTTTCCTCCAGTTGAAGCAAAACGGAATTTGTGCTTCCTCGGGCCACCAGAGAAGGAAGCAGGAATATGCTATCACACCCCTGGGCCCCCAAAGTTTTGACTTAATAGTCTGATAGCCACAGAGATTTGGCTACTCAGTGTGGGAATTAGTTTCATATTGCAACCAGCCGGGCCAAGAACAATCCATTAACCCAATTTCCTTGAGTCTTTAAACCAGTAAGTCCCTGGAGATCCAGAGCCACATGTCATTGTTTAAAAACGGGCCCTTCCTATCTTATATACAAACCATCCTTTTTAGAGCGCCATTACGTTTTGTGGTGGTTTTCAGGGCTGGGATATGTAATAGCGCAGCGGAAAGAACTAAGAAAGGGAGACCACACCTCTGGTCCTGTCTTTGCCACAAACCACTGTGACTTAGCTTCTGTGGGTCTATTTTCTCATCTGTAAAACGGAAAGACTGACTTGTCAGGACCCCTGCAGCTCAAAGACAATGGCTTTTTGACTTTCTATCATCTACGGGTGTTGGAAAGATGGCTCTGTACACACTGTATTTCCTACGCCTAGCCCTGGACTCTGATGCAAACAGGTACCTTAGAAAAGACCCCCAGGCCTACTTTTTCTTCTGCCCTTTCGTCCAGGGTTGAGAAAAGGGATGTATGGTTTCCAGGTGGGTACTAGGCTCAGCAGGGGATCACTTATAAGTTATGTAAACGTCTCACCACTATGTTGTACACCAGAAATGGATCTAATACTGAATATCAACTGTAATTGAAAAAAAAAATGAATCAAGCAGAAGGATAAAGGATACTTTCACTTCCTGGCGTGGAAGTGGTAACGCTCTTTATCATCCCCCAGAATCCTGATGGCTTGTTATGCACCTCCCCCTTCTGGAACATAGTTCTCCGTGTCATGGCCATCCTGAAACAGAGCAAAACAAACAGGAAAACCAACCTCAGCAAGGAAGCATGGACCTTCACCGTCCATTCTTATCCATCTCCTAGTCTCATCACTGCCCCTTTCATTTGCTGAGTGTTTAGGGAAGGAGGCAAATTCTGCAGCCCCACTTTTCCACAACTTACAACTGGGGGGAAACCATCCACTCCCAGAGGCAATGTGGCCTCGGCAAAGAGTACAGAATGTGGAGTGGGCAACAAATCGGAGGACTGGCTCTGCTACTCACAAGCTGTGAGACCTTAGGGTTTTCATGTCCTCATCTGTGGATCATTGCGGAGATAAACAAAATAATGTATAAGAACTCAAACCAGGATGAGTCTAATAAAATAGAGTAGTGGGACTAAAGAAAAACTTAACTCAAGGTAGACATTTTTGGGTGAGAAGAGACAGACAGAAGTGTGAGGAGGAAGCAGCAGCACTCGTATCGATGGCTGGGACCAATGCAAATGGTACCAATGATACCAATTACCAAATGGTATTTCTGTGGGCTAGAATTTTTAAGCCACTGGCTGAAATGGTATTAACAACAAAAAATATTAGGTGTGTTGGCCATGTTGACTTAACTGTTTCCTTCTCAAAATGACCTTTGCCTGGATATTGAATGAATGGAATATAGGTCCAAGTGTTAGCTCTTTCTGACTTTTCCTATAATTACACACATGCTCACTGTAACTCAGCATTGTTGGAAGAGGCTCAGACCTAGGGCGATTTTGACGTGGCAAGGCTCATAACCTTGAGTTTTCCTAGTTTCCTAGCTGAGAAAGCTGGAACAAGTATATGAGAAGAAAGAGATGCTGTGTCACGCATTTACAAGTTCACTGCAGCTCACCATGCTGGGTTAAAGGAGAGACAGTGGGGAGAGAGGAAGCAAGCTCATTTCTACTGTCCTTAGTTTCAACGTCTACAACAACGACTCTGGCTGTGGAGATGAACTGGTTCATTATGTAAAGATGACTGACGCTGTACTGTGGCCCCGTAACAGGAAGAAATGTACAGTCACTAGAAGTGAAAGTTGGCTGCAGCCAGGCATGGCCTTGCTTTAAACAACTCACTTTCACTTTCATCACTTAACTCTAAACCAATTTTGCTCTTATCAAATACGTTACAGATAAAAAATAAATATTTATGTATTTTAAAAAGGCAACAAGAACAAGCTTCCTGAGACGTGGTGAAAAGGAATTAAAAAACAATATGAGGTAATATAGAAGCAGAGGGCTTTTATTTTGAACTTGTCTTCATGGCCACCACCACCACCACCACGATCAGCATTACTATTGCCTCTTTATAATAGGGGTAGTCCAGATCAAGAATATATCTATTATTAGCTGGATGCCATTTAAAACCCTAGTCTGGAAACATGCATGCACTTGGCTGAGGTTTGGGGGTGGCAGTTTGCACAAATGAAGAGGCTGGAAAATATCTATTTGGCTTAAATATGCCATTTTGCAGTTGTCTGGTCCCCACTGCTTCTGGTGGGAAGTCAGCAATTACTTTTCTTTTTTAATGAAATGTTTTATTTTGAGATAACTGTAGATCCACATGTGATTGTAAAATAGTACAGCTTTCCCCAATGGAAACATCTTGCAAATTTCTAGCGCAGTATCCCAACCACGGTACTGACACAGAACACAGCACATTTCCACCATTACATGCACCCCTCATGCTGCTTGGGTAGGGCCCACTTCCCACCTCCCACCCTCTTTAAACCCTGGCGACCACAAATCTGTTTTCCATTTCCATTTTGTCATTTCAAAAGTGTTATATAAATAGAATCATACAGTAGGTAACCTTTGTGGATTGGCTTTTTTCACTCAGCATAATTTTCTGGAGATTCATTATCAGTAGTTCATCGCTTTTTATTACTCAGTAGTACTCTGTGGCATGGATGTACTACACTTTGTTTAACCGTTCATCTATAACGGATATATGGGTTATTTCCATTTTTGGCTACTATAAGTAAAACTGCTCTAAATATTAGTGTACATTAAACCTTCATTTCTCTAGCATAAATGCCCAGGAATGCAATTGCTGGGTTGTGTGACAGTTGCATGCTTAGTTTTTAAAGAAACCACTAAACTGTCTTCCAGAGTTACTATACTATTCTACACTAACCAGCAATGTATGTGTGATTCATTTTCTCTGCATCCTTTCTAGCCTTTGGTGTCACTAATTTTTATTTTTGCCATTTTAATAGGTATGTAGTGATATCTTGTGGTTTTAATTGCATTTCTCTTGTGAAAAAGAAATAATAGAACCAAGATGGAGTTACTTTTGCTAAGTCCCTCCAAGCCTTAATATCTGACCTAACTGCAGTTTCAGCCTCTCCCAGGAGTGGAATTCTAAACCAATCAATCTGGAACTGCCTTAGTCAGGGAATCTGTTTAATAAGATCCCCTGCTTTCCCAGAAGGGGGGGTAACCTTCCCTGATATAATCCACTTGCCTGAAATAATTTAACTTCCTTGTCCCACTCTCCAGCTGTCTATGAAAATCTTTCATTTTGTACAACTCCTTGGAGCACCTTCCTACTTATTAGGTGGCAAGCTGCCTGATTCATGAATTGTTCAATAAAGCCAATTACATCTTTAAATTTACTTGGTTAAATTTTTGTTCTTTAACACTCTAATGACGAACAATGTCAAATATCTTTTCATGTGCTTAATTGCCATCTGTATATCCCCTACAATGAAATGTCTGTACATGTTTTTTGTCCATCCCATTTTCTAACTGGAATGTTTTTTTTTGTTTTTTTTCCCCTTAAGTTTTAAATATTTTAGGTACTAGCTCTTTCTCAGATATGTTGTTTGCAAATATTTTTCTCATGCTTTCTGGTGTTCACTTTGTACATGCATTGTTTGTGATGAGGCATAACCTTCCTCTGATGAATGTCTGCTTTCCATGTCGTTTGAGGCGAATCATCACGTCGGGACCAAGACTGTTGATGCACCACATTGTTGTAAACAATCCACTTCTCATCACCAGTTATCAGTCGCTTCAAATGAGCATAGTGCAGATGTGTATACATGCTGTCAAATGAACTTCTTTGAGTTCATGCAGAACCCAAATATCGAGCTTGCTTACGTATCCCAGCTTCTTCAGGTGGTCGTGAACAATTCAATGATGGACGTTCAATATTTCTGCAATCTCTCATGTCGTGTAATATGGGCTTGACTCCATCCATGCCTTTATTTTGTTGTCATCAACCTCGGTGGGCCTCCCTGACTGAGGAGCGTCGTTGAAATAAAAATCACCAGCATGGGGCCGGCCGAGTGGCGCGCTGGTTAAGAGTTGGCTTGGAACGCCAGCTCTGAGAGCAGGGCCCCAGTTCAGATCCCACATGGGCCAGTGATGCTGCGCCCTCTACAGCTAAGATGGTGAACAACAGCTTGACCTGGAGCTGGGCTGCCGTGAGTTGCCGGCGATGGTGTAGGCTGCAGCCCCTGCTACAGTGGGCTGACGTAAGCTACCGTGAGTGCCTGGCAGCCGGCGTGAGCGGCCGGCAGCCGGCAGCCAACATGAGCTGCCAAGAGCCACCGTGAGCAGCCGACCAGTGGCCGGCGACTGATCTGCCTCACCTGGAAGAGCGCAATGATAATACCAACATGGGCCAGTGAGGCGACATCCTCAACTAGACTGAAGAACAAAAGGACAGCAACTTGTCTGTTCCCCTTCCTGGATTCCCCAACACTGTTCACCTCCCCCAACTCCCCAATAAAATCTTTTTCCCTGCAGAATTAATTTTATTGTCAAGTGACTCAAAGGAAAAAGATATATATATATATTGAGCTCCCCAAAACCCAAGCAAAACCAGCATGGAATTTTGTGAACCATTGTTGGCACTGACGTTCTTGTAGAGCACTGTCACCGTAAACTTTATACAACTTTTCACAAGCTTGACGCACATTCTTCTCTTTATGGAAGTAAAACAGTAAAATATGGCGAAAATGCAGTTTTGTCTTCCATCTTCAACTCTGTAAAATCTCCAAAACTCAACCAAATTGCTCAGTTTTTTTAGAATGAAGCTAGAACTGTCAGCTGTCAAATGACATAGCAATAACATAGATGCAAATAACTCTAGTACTTCCAAAAATGAACTAGTGCCATCTGTCACAAACATGCATCATGACTTTTCTGACAACCCAGTATCTGAATTAGGTTTCTTCTAGTCAGTGTTTCAAGTGAGAAGACAGTGTGTCTCTTTCCTGTCCATTTTCAACCATTAACTTGTTTTTTGTTTGTAACAAACGTTACTCTTCTTGTATGTCATCTCACTACGGCCCTCTGCTGTTAAATTGAAAGATGGTTTTCTGGTCACTTCCTCCCCTACTGTAAGTGTGAAACCGTTTTTCTATTTTGGTAAGTAGCAAAGGCATTGTATGAATCCCAGTAGCCCCAGTGTTGTCATGCTAGCTATGTATCTGTCCAGTTAGCTCCACTGGGTAAAGAACTGTGATAATTAGGTCAAGTTGAGAGGCTGATTCATCTGGGAGCCACTCATATTAATAAGACCTACTGCAGGACCACAAACCATCCTATATCCTTACTAGACGAGGCCTACAGGGGTACATGTATGGATCAGAGCCAATTACTAACCAAGACTAGTGATGAAATAGCTTAAAAGTGCACATCCATACTTTATATTCATCTCTCTGTAAGAATAAAAGAAATATAGTAAAAGGGAGAATGTTCTTGGGAATCAGAATAGTAGTGTTTCTATATAAGGATCTTCCAATAGTGAATAATGTTGCTCTTATTGTTATGGTTTAAAAATCTGCATCCAGATTCATTCATGTAAATTAACTATATAAAATGAATGTAAACAAAACATTTGTAAGTAAATAAATGCATACACAGGTCTATCTACTTCCAATATCCTAGTAAAGCTGTATAGCACTGGAGACAAATAATCAGTTGGTGATTCTGGGCCTTTCTATCATCTTATTGTTATCTCCTACATTAAGGTTTCTTTGACTTGACTACCGGTCTTACTATAGAAAAGTGTGGAAGGAACATGAAATGCGAAAATACTCATGCAATTGAAAATTTCTATGTCACCATTTTTTTTTCAATTGGGGAATTGGGGGAGGGGAACAAACAAGCTGCTGTCCCCTCATTCCTCAGTCTAGTTGTGGAGGACACTGTTTCACTGGCTCACGTTGGTATTATCATTGCGCTCTTCCTGGGTTAGGCAGTTGCTCACCGGCCACTGGATTGCTGCTCATAGTGGCCCACAGCAGCCCATGAAAGCCCATGCCCGTTGTAGGCCAGCCCCATTGCAGCGTACGCCATCACCGGCGACTCACGGCAGCCCAGCTCCAGGTCGAGCTGTTGTTCACCATCTTATAGAGGGCAGCGTCACTGGCCCTCATGTAGGATCCGAACTGGGGCCCTGCTGCTCAGAGTTGGCGTCCCAAGCCAGCTCTTAACCAACGCGCCACTCGGCCAGCCCTATGTCACCATTTTTATATGGGTAATAACTTTAATAAAGAGAGTAAACTTATAAATTTCATGAAGGTAGAAATTATTCATCAGTCTCTATGTCCTATTCAGCATTTAATACAGTGCATGGCATAAACTAGGCTTTCTGTAATTATTAAATAAATGAACATATGAATGAATACATGAAGGCAAAGCATTAAAACCAAATGATTATCCTGCAGAGATTATTAATAAATTCAGTTGTTTTCCTTAGCTATGTATAATTCACTGTTAAGAGCTCTACATATCAACTCATTGTTATTTAGATTTTACAGATGAGGAAACATAAGGAGACAAAGTAACTAGCTCAAGGTCACTGTGAGTTGGAGGCCAAGGATTCAAACCCAACAGTCTGCGTCTAGAGCCTATGCTTTTACCCACTGTCATATAGATTTCTAGACATGCCACTTTGAAAACATAAATTTCTAAAGTACTTTTAAAATAATAAAAACAACAATAGCTGGAAGACTTGAACAATTTTTTCAAGTAGTTGGAGAAAAGAAGTAGAAAAGATCAAAGTCAGTCATGAAAAAGTTCGTAAAAATGCAGGACAACAGACTTTTAAAACATCCAATGTAGGGCTGGCCGAGTAGCGCTTTGGTTAGGAGGTGGACTGAGAAGCCAGCTCTGAGCAGCAGGGCCCTGGTTTGGATCCCACATTAGGGCCAATAACGCTGTGGCCTCTACAGCTAAGATGGTGAACAACAGATCGACCTGTAGCTGGACTGCCATGAGTAGCCGGTGATGACGTAGGCTGCAGTGGGGCTGCAGTGGGCTGCCATAAGCTACCGTGAGTGACCACCGGCGTGAGCGGCCATCCAATGGCTGGCGACCGATCTGCCTCACCCAGGAAGAGCGCAATGATAATACCAACATGGGCCAGTGAAGNACTAGACTGAAGAACAAAAGGACAGCAACTTGTCTGTTCCCCTTCCCCGATTCCCCAATGCTGTTCCCCTCCCCCAATTCCCCAATAAAATCTTTACAAAAAAAACCAAAACAAACAAACAAAAAAAAACATCCAATGTAGAATACCTTCAAAGTTATTCTAACAATTCATCTCAAGAGAATTTATGTAAAGTCAGGAGATAAGGTTGTATTTGAAAATTTTCTTTCACACAGGACTGGATACTAAGTCTTTGATGGTGCCTTAACTTATAATGAAAATGAGTAAGATGAAATTCCCTGTTAGCACCAATGAATTCATAGTCAAATTTTCTTGTTGAGAATTTCTAACAGTACAAGTTTTTTAACGTGCTGATATCTTACCTTTTCTTTTTGCTTATGATCATATCCATGGTTTGGAGCAGTCGCCGTTCCAGGGCTAGAATATCTGTGTCAGTCACGTTCCTATGAGTACAAACTGTTAGCAGTGTTTTAGGAATCCTATTCTTGGGCACAATACAAGGCAGCTGGAAAAACACATAAACCTCAACTGTTACCCAGCAATTCAAGGATCTTTTTCTAGAAAATATTAAAATGACTATAAGCAAAAACGCTTTTGCTGTCATTTTCTACAGCTAGTACTTCCGGGGTCTCAGGGCAATGGAAGGTAACGAGCTCTCTCTTAGTCTTCCTTAGCTTGGATTTGGTGATATCTATGATACATGTGTCAGCACTTTGAACTTGGAATTGTCTTCTACTGTTCTACTTTTGGGAGGAACTAATTAGCTGACGTTGGTGTCCACAGAAATGTGCCTTTGAAAAGGCGGGCTGAGGAGAGGGTAGAGAGGGTCAAACTGAAATCGCCAATATAAAAACAAATGAATGTAGGACCAATAATAAGGGCAATCAATATAAGTGATAAGATTTACTTAGAAAGGTTCCTAGGCCAATGCCCACAAGGACAGAGGAAAGGCAGTGTTGCAAATCTAATATTTAAGTATTAAAGATGGTGGCATGGTATGACATATGTATTCAAGAAATAATGGGGAAAAAAGACAAGACAAAGTTCTCCTTACCTGAGGAAGTAGGACATGTAAGTGTATGGGCAGTTGACAGCACCAAATCCAGAGAGAAGAGCCATGAGAGTCACCCCGATCACACCCACCCGGCTGATGAGCTGCTCTATCGACAAGATCCCTAAAAACAGCAAAGCACATTCAAGCCAGGTAACACAGGTAAGATGGCTCTCACTGGACTGCAAAAGGAAGCATCACTGCAAACATCAACCATTACATACAACTAACTTAAACAAGCCAAAGTTTAGTAATACATAGATATTCTGTAATAAATATACACAAGTCCATTGATTTTCCTCCTATCTCATATGCTTCCGGAATCATCTCCATTACTGGGTGAGGATAAAATAATATAACAATAATTGTAAATAACACTGTTGGACTGTTTGCTCAACGTAGTATGAATCTAACAAAGCAAAGTACTTTTAGTAAAAGCTTTGGCAAAAAAAAAGAAAAAAAAGGGAGTCTGCTGGAAAAGTATAAACAGCACCTAATGCTTTGTGCTATAGTTAACTTCGATATATACATTTCCCCCTCAGGTCATAAGCTCAGATAAAGCGACATGCAGAAGAACATGTCACCACTACCATTTGCTCACACAGGTTCCTTCTAGCTTCATATGCTTTTTTTCTTAGTCTTTCGTGCTCTTTCTCCTCATCTACCACCTTGGAGAGACTTCCTTTTTTTTCATGCACTGATTCAATCAACAGGTATTAAATACTTATGTGCTGGGTTCCACTCTAGGCACTAGAGATACAAAGATAAATAAGATGTAGTTTCTGACCTCGGGGAAGTCAGAAAAGGAAACAGTTAATTATAAATTTTATAGGTGATACTGAGGTGGGAGCAACTAATATCTTCTAATACTGGCCAGGAAAATCTTCTTAGAGGAATTGACAAGAGTTGAATATTGAATGAATAAATAGGTCTTTTCCAGGTAGACAAGGGGTGGAGGGATTGTCCAGGCTGAAGGGACAGCTCTAGAAACTTCAGAATTACCTGGTAGGACTGTAGGACAGACACACAGAGGAGAGCAGTAGTCAGGCCATAGAGGGCTTGTGTACTATGCTGATTTTGAATGTTTTTGGTAGGCTGGTATTCCTGAACTTTTTTGGCCTTCTTTAATGTTATTTGAAATTTCAAAATAGCTAGTTTTAAAAATATACAGTTGTTTATGATGTTACATATGCTTTAAAGAATTGCACATTTCTTCTGATCCTCCTTCAGGAGGCTCAAATCCCGCTACAGGCAATGAGCAGACACGGGGGGATGCATGGGAGGTAAGGCGGACACTGGTTCACTCAGCAGTATTCCAACCCCTTTCTAGCTTGTCGTCTTATCCTATAGAATCTGGAAAGCTAAAAGCTCTTTCCCAGAGATCCTTAAAGCTAAGGCTCTGAAGGTTACCCAGGCTGCATTGAATGCACCTGCCCTTATGAGACCTCAGATGCAGAAGGGAAAAAAGTGGGAGCGGTGACAGCACTTGGGAGCCGCAGCAGCTGGGGCAGAGGTTTTAGAGTCTGGTTCCTGACGTCACAGGTCCGGAGTGGCAGGTGACAACTTCAGTGGGTTTTTCTAGTTCAGTGGTGTTATTTCTGTGGTGTTTTTCATTATGCAACGTTTAAGCTTGATGTCTTCACTTTCCTAAAAATTCTATCAACTCCCTAAAACCCAGTAATAAGTCACTTTCTGCTTTAAACTAACTAGAATAGATTCTGTTTCCTGCTATAAGAATCCTGGCAGATCCAGCAGGAAACTGAAATGAATAGATGTTCATTTTTAAAACAAGCTCCAGTATATTTATTACAGGTGAGGTCTCTAATTTATTTTGGACAGATTCTGTATATATATTTCTGAAGCAGTTCGGAAGAATTTGTTAGTCGAGGGATTTTTGTTCATTGTTTTTAGCATAGAAATTGGAACTCTGTCCATGACCTGCTCTTGTTTTTAAATTGAACTTTTAATGTGCAGCTCTCTCCTAGAAAGCTTTTCTATTTTTACTAATGGTGTTTTATGTCTTTCCCAAAATACACACACTCCCTAAAGGCAGTCTTTATCATCACTTGAACAGTGGCAATGTACCTTTTGGGTCACAGACCCTTTGGGAATCTGATAAAAGCTTGTGGACACCCCACCTCCAAATACACACACAAATATTTTCCCATAATTCTGCACACAGTGTCAGGAGATTTAAGCTAAAAACACCTTTCTCCACTTCTTACTCCCTTGAAGTTCATTCACTAACCTAAGGTCAAAAATTCCTGCTCTGAAATGAAAGAAATCTGTTCCCAAACCAGCATTGGACACCTCTTGGGATGATGGGAAAATTTGGTTGAAAACGAGAAAATTTTTAGAGAAATAATTTGCTATATTTCTCACCATCAGAAGTTAAAAAAAAAATTTTGTTTCAATATTGAAAGACAATAAACGACCCTTTCCCCCTTCCCACCACATATCCACTCACCGTGTTTTGGGGTGAGAATGGGAAATGGGTCTCCTAGTTTCCAGAAGAAATACATAAAAGTCAACCATAGGAGACAGGAAAAAAGCAGTCGCTGTTTATGCACTAAAAGAGAGGAGGCAAGACTGTAAGTTAAATAGATACACTGTAAGGTGCTTGCTCAGCCTAAAGGTACGGCATCATGCTAATTAATATTTAGCTGATATGTTCACTTGGCAAACGAGCGATGGAACAATACAAATTTTACAGAAAGCATCCTTACCACCATAAAAGAAATTTGGCTGAAATTAAGATATGGGGTGAGTTAGGGAGACAATCTAATAGCCACAGAAATAAAACTGTGGCAGGACAAATAACTTAATTATTCATTGGATTTTTGTGTGTGTGTGCCAACCTTTTTAAGATACTGTGTGTGCAGTGCCCCCAACAACTGTAGCTACTGAAAGTAATGTGGAAAGAAATGAAGCTCTCCACAGCCTCAACCCCCATGAACACTCCATCTATGTGCCCACACAAGGGAAAATACTCACACAGTCGGATGTTGCTCACAATAAAGTAGCCAATGTAAAAAGGCACCATGAAGACCAGGATCAGTAGAATTACACACAGGTTCATTTTCCAGTGAAAATAACGGGAGCTGAAACAAACGCCAAAAACTATCACGAGTTGGGGGAAAGGCCGGCGCCTCTCACTCTCTTCAGTCTTCCAAAGGATCACTTGCTCTTTGAACTCAATACTGAATATCCCCCATCTAATTAGTCAACAGATTGGCTGTTACTATTTGCTTGTTTATAAAGATTAAAAAAAAAAAGTTCTGAAAGGTATACATAATCATCATAACCTAAAATTTTCACTTATCAAAATGAGAATGTCAGTGCTCTAGTTATATTCACAGGCAAAGTATAATAACATATCAACATATACTATTACTAGTAGAGTGACTTGTGTCAATCACCACTGGGAGTCTTATTCCAATATAAGCATGAACAGGAAATAAATCTGAACTGTAACATGTGCTATAAAGACTCAGAAACACTTCTTTTATCCCTTCAATATAATTAAACATCTGATTTGCATGACTACTTTATTATTGAACATAAAATATATTTTATTTACTGATTAAAATATTTTTAGGATTTTTATAACAATTTTATTGAAAGATAATCCACTATTTACAGTGTACAATTCAATGGTTTTTAGTATATTCAGAGTTCTGCAACCATCACCACAATCAATTTTAGAACATTTTCATCACCCCATAACGAAACCCTGTACCCATTAGCAGTCACTCCCCTTCTCGTCTAACCTCCGCAGCCATAGGAAACCACCAATATACTTTCTGTCTCTATGGATTTGCCTAATCTGGACATTTAATACATATGGAATCATGCAATATATGGTCTTTTGTGAGTGGCTTCTTTCACCTAGCATAGTGTTTTCAAGGTTCATCCACGTTGTAGCATCTCTCAATATTTCATTCCTTTTTAGAGATGAATAATATCTATTCATTAGTTTATGGACATTTGGGTTGTTTTACTTTTTAGCTATCATAAATAGCAATGCTATGAACATTTGCGCACAAGTTTTTGAGCGGACATGTGTTCATTTCTCTTTAGGTGTATACCTAGGAATGGAATTGCTGGGTCTTACGATAACTCTAATTTTTCGAGGACTGCCTATTTTTCAAAGTGGCTGTACCATTTTGCATTCTCCCCAGCTGTGTATGGGAATTATATACCAATTTCTCCACAGCTTCGCTGACACTTACTGTCTTTTTTTTTTTTTTAGCTGAGCCATCCCGCCACCTGTTGGCAGCTCCGCGGCTGCTCAGCTCGGGCTGACTCGAACCACTGTTGCTCAGAGCTCAAACTCTTGAGCGAGCTCTTAACCAACTGAGCCACTCAGCCGGCCCACTTACTGTCTTTTTTATTATAGGCATCCTAGTGAGTGTCAAGTGGTATCACAGTGATGTTTTGATTTGCATTTCCTAATGGCTAATGATGTTAAGCATCTATTCAAGGGCTTATTGGCCATTTGTATATCTTCTTTGGGGAAATGCCTGTTCAGATCCTTTGTCCATTTTTCTTTTTTAAATTTTATTGGGGAACAGTGTGTTTTTCCAGGACCCATCTGCTTCAAGTCAGGTAGTTGTTTCAATCTAGTTGTGGAGGGTGCAACTCATTGGCCCATGTGGGCATCGAACCCATAACCTTGGTGTTATGAGCCTGCGCTCTAACCACCTGAGCTAACCGGCCGCCCCATTTGTCCATTTTTCAATTATGTTATTTGCCTTTTTATAATGGAGTCATAAGAGTTATTGTGTATCCTACATAAAGTCCTTTATCAGATATGTGGTTTACAAAATTGCTCTCCCATTCTTGGGATATCTGTTCACTTTCTTGATAGTGTACTTTGTATTTACTGATTTTAAACTTACTTAAGCGCAGGCCTTCTTTCAAAAAAAAGGGGAAGTGGCTTATGAGGATATATAAAATACAGGATGATGAAATAAACAATAAGGAAAACTAAAAGAGGAAAAACAATGGTAAAAGATAGGTAAAATATCAGGCCTGGTGGCGATTATGAAAATGCACACCATGGATTTCTAGAAACTTGCTATGGGTGGGTCATAAATTTAGCTTTAAGTTTTCTAAAGGTTGATTGAAGTAGAAAATTTGATCGGTTAGATAAATCACAGTGTCTGTAAGAAACACAAACCAATTGCTTAAAGGAAACAGATTACTGATTTATTATTCCTGAATTGTTACTGAGATCATAATGAAAAATTTCCAAAGATTTCATATAAAGAAGAAAACGTGAGGGCAATTAACAATGCCCTCAACAACATTCTTTCAAGAGAAACATCAATGAGTTTCAAAGGGCCGTTTCCTACTGTTTCCCCATAGCATAAATGGCAGGAATCATGATACAAAGAGCTCTTCAGCGAAGGCTACCCTACATTTAGTTTAGATACACAGACAGCGTCTTGCTCAACTGGATTAGCCCACTTTAGAGCACTCGGAGAAACAAACCAGCTGCACGTCCTCCAGTCACTCACACTTAGCATTTCAGCTAAGCTTCTGAAAGGAGGGAGGCAGTGGGTTTGAAATGACAGATGTAATCCGCATTGCCAACTAAAAGCAAACCATGTATTTTAACTATCTTTTGAGCTGAGGGTAAAGTGCCATTCTCTTGAGAGAATTAAGGATCCGAAAAGATTATGTATTGAATGGGGTGCCATGCCACTTCTGCTCAGAGGTGAGTCCAAAGATTACTTTTGGTCAGGGCCAAGATTCTCCTTTGAAAATTATTTTGATGCAGTCAATGCACAGATATAATACATGATCAAGGTCCATATTTCTGTTCCACAGCAGGGTCGAATGTTAGTATTTAGAAAGTAAGTGTAACTGAAGACATGTTTCAGCCTACACACACCCAATCCCCACAGGTGTACCCAAGAAAGAATAAGATTCTAGCAATGCTACTTCCCTATACTCTTTAAGAAAAATACATCAAAGTAACTGAGTGATGTGTCTTACTATATGGGATTATTAACTATAAATGAGGAAAACGTTGGGGGACATCATCTACCAAAAAGAGTAATTTTGGTTTTAGCACATCTGAGCCACAGTCCTTCCTATCATGACTTAGATTGGCAGGACTGGCAGTCAGCAAACCATGGTCCCCCAGCCATGCCCATTTGTTGACATCCGCCTATGGTTGCTTTTGCTCTACAACCACAGAGTTGAGTGGTGGCAATAGAAACCGTATGGCCCTAAGACATTTACTGTCTGGCCCTGACAAAAAGTTTGCTGACCTGTGTCAGATAGCAGTGCAACTTCCAGGTTGTGATAACAAAATGTAAGAACTAGTATGTAAAATAACCCTGGCCTATCCTCCATAGTCATAGGATCTGCACTCAGCTCATCTAAGAAAGGTCTCGCTTATTAAAGAACAAGTTGACACGTAGGAGAGTCGTAACATATTCCTGTTTTACCACATTCTAAGTTCTTAATTTATCGACCAAGAGACCAATAATGACCAACTCTGATGCTCACAAAAGGAATCTGAGAAGACAGCCTCTCTGTGAGTCTCAAGTGTCGGGGCCTATGATGAGTTATACACCTTAGCGCAGCATGGATTCCTGACTACAGAGGTAAATGCCATTTTATTCTTAATAGCTGATGGACTCTACACACAAACACATTGGCCTAAAAAATGTTAAGGTTACAGTTTAAGAAGCAAGAAATATTTTGGGGTAGACTGTTTAATAAACTAACAGGCATGTTATCTGGAGGGAAATAGGAGTTTTAAAAAATCCTTAACACTCTGAGTTTAATCAGACTTGACTGTGCCTGTGAAATCCACAAAGCTAACTAGGTTAGGTAAGAACTGGGGCCCAGTCTTCAGTTCCAGCCCTTAACTAGCTCTGAGGAATTCTGATCTTTTAAATCAGCAGAACAATATGGAGGGCCATACCCGGGATTTAGTTAGAGAATATCCTGATAAAAATAAAACTGCTAGGGGTCAAGCCAGGGATGAGGCTCTCAGCCTCGTTCCTAATTAGGATTTCAGAGATAATGTTGACTTTTTTCCCCCAGCTGTTTCACAATCTTTGTCAAACTAGTGACTAGGTGTTTGGAACCCATATTTGGTGGTGTTATCACAGTACTGAGACTAAACTAACCACATGGTGGATGTTTATCAGTCATGGGATCCAAGAAAGTCTTCTGTGCAAAGAAAATCACATAGGTCTCCTCAAGAGGAGAGCTCATTAGTACCCTTACTCACCTGCTATTCAATACTCCTAAGATTTCGAAGATGATGAGCTCAAACATGGTGCAAGAAAACGCAAAAGTCACAGAGAAGATCACCTGTACGACATACTGACGCACCTGGTCAAAGCCAAACAGAGACTAAGTCATTTCCTTGTTTGAAGTACTGAATTGATATTTTCTGGTTACAAGTTAGAAAACTTATTTTGAAGAAATTCTCAAATCATTGGAAACAGGGCTGCAAGAGTAAGTCGCCTGGAGCTAAAGGGAGAGATGAAGGAGGCAGTACTTCTGAAGCATGGGCCACGAGTACTGCCATCCTCTCATGGACAGAGAATTTAAGGCACAGGGCAATGAAGTGACAGGGTCATAAGTAGCACTTAGAATTCCTGATGCACAATGACCAAAAAAAGAGAGACAGATTTAAATATATATATATGGGTTACAGGTAAAAAAGCTTCTTCAACACTCTGCAGACCTTGACCTATTCTGGAATCTTCCCTGGGAGGCGTTCAAGTATCGAGCAGAGCAGAAGCTCTAGAATCCCAGGCTCTTTCAGACAATAGCCCGAACTCCCTGGGGGAGGTTTAATAGAGAACATCCTAGAAATGACCCAACGTTGTCCATAACTATTGAGGTTATTACTAAAGGAGGAGGATTAATCGGGAAATGTCCAGTCTAGGCTGGCATTTTTCTGAATTCAAGGCTTAAGATAAAAACCAGATCAGCCTTAGGATTTTGGTATTAACTTAGGGTGTAAGATTGGTCATTTAACATTGAAGGTCAGATACCCAAATGAACAGGAACATTTATGAGACATTATTAAATTCCCTCCCAGAGAATATCGGCTATTGGTGTGTCTGCTGAGATGACCAAGGCATGACATTTCCTGCTCCTGGTTTCTGGGCTATACATAACGCCTTAAAACAAACAAACAAACAAACAAACAAACAAACAAACAAACAAACAAACAAACAACAGACATCAACTAAGCCTAATCATATTCTCCAAGTTAAGCACTATATAGCACTCATTGGCAAAAACTTCCTATCTTGGATGTGAACATGACCTTTCTTTAATGGAGGTATTCTTGCTCCATTTTACAACAATTTAAATGCATACAGTATTAGCATAATCAAAATGATTTCGTCTTACCTCATAATCCTTAAACAGTTGGCGCATGAAGAAAAGCCACCCAAATCCAAAGAAGAATATCTGTAGGAAAAAGATGACAGAAGGTCAATATATATATATATATATAATCTTTTGAGAAATGCCATGTACAGAGTAGCCTAGAGAAGAATATGGGGTAAAGGGAAAGTTTATAGGTCAAGAGGAAGAAAGCAGTAGAGTAAGGAGATAAACAAACATGAGAAGGAGCTGATGGAACACTGGAGGCTGAGTTAATGATATGCATTTATTAGTAGTAGTAGCTATCCTTTATTGATCATTTACTACAGTCCAGGAACTCCAAGCTTAGGGTTGTAATCTCATTAAATCAGAAAAAGCCAGTAAAGTTTGACTGTCCTCATTTCAGAGAAAGCTGAGGCTTACAGAAGTTAATCCATTTATAGCAGCGGTTCTTAACCTTCCTAATGCCGCGACCCCTTAATACAGTTCCTCATGTTGTGGTGACCCCCAACCATAAAATTATTTTCGTTGCTACTCTATAACTGTAATTTTGCTACTGTTATGAATCGTAATGTAAATATCTTTTTGTTTTCTGATGGTCTTAGGCGACCCCTGTGAAAGGGTCATTCGACCCCCAAAGGGGTCGCAACCCACAGGTTGAGAACCGCTGATTTATAGTAAGTGTGACTGACTCTAAAGCTTGTGCTTTTAGCCACTTCATAATAAGCTGCTCCAAGATCAAAGGCAAGGTGGAGAGGATGGCCTTACACAGGAGGAGGGGCCACCTCATTTTCTGACATGGGAGGAAAGGAGTAGGAATGGTTGTGGAAAGGGATGACTGCTCAGAGTAAGGCCAGGAAGTAGAAGGTCAAACCTTTGGTCTCACTTTTGCTGATAAAGTAGGGGTCAAAGTCATCTGCTAAGAGTCAGAGGTGAGGATAGAAAAAAGGGCTCTGAAGAGACTGATAAAGACTCACAGAAATTATGAAGGGAATGGAACAGGCAGCTGATTAAAGCCAAGAAAAAAAAATAATTCAGTGAGCTGAGGGTGCCCATAAACTCATGGAATCTGCAGTTGTGGAATTTTCTACAACAGCCTTTGGACCCATGAATGAATAGTAGACAAACCATAGCAGCAATTCAAGTGTGGACTTTTATACATAGCTAAAGAAACAAGAGGGTAAAAGTAGCTTGGATTCATGAATTTGGACTGAGAATAAAAGGAAAGGGATGAACAGATGGGAGAAAATACCCCTCGATTATCTAGGAGACCCTTTGGTTATCATAAATCATCACCAGTGGAGACATTTAAATTCAGAGTTTAGAGGCCACCTTTATGTGACTTATGAAGTCATGACTGAAACTGGAGAAGTCAAGCATTTAGGACTGGGAGTGACGTGTATGAGGGAAATGATAAAAATGAAAATAATATATATATCCAAGACCACCCTGAAATTGAACTTTCAACAAGGAAAACAAGCAAAAATGATATTCTAGATGAGGGGATGGGAAATGGAAGAAAAAGAGAGATCTATACCTTTAATTTTTCATGGTGGATCCTTTTTTCTTTTCAAATTAAAATTTATTGAGGTGACAGTGGTTAGTAAAATTACATAGGTTTCAAGTGTATGGGCTCCTTTCCCAATGATAAGAAAACTTAAAAAAAAAGACTTTAATACAACTTGAAAAAAGAAACTGGAGAATCCATTAATTCCAAGATAAATATAAATTCTGGCAAGATTATAGAGGATCTAAAAAGCATGTAGAAGGGACACGTAACTCTCAACAGTTTTGCAAATAAAATAGAAGGTGCACAGTTTCTTATTAAAAAAGGGAATTGAGGGCCGGCCAAGGGCGCGATCGTTAAGAACTGGCTTGGGACGCCAGAGGGCTCGCTTCGGATCCCACATATGAGGACCAGTGACACTGCCCTCCACAGCTAAGATGCTGAACAACAGCTCAACCTGGAGCTGGGCTGCCGTGAGTCGCCG